CGTGTTCGGGTGGGGGGGGCGGGTGTGGGGGGGAGGGTTGCAGAGGGGGACAGAGAAGGCTGAAACATCTGCCTGTGCTTAAATATAGCTTTTGCTTGAATTCGGTTATTGCAGACAAGAATAGCTGAGCTTGAAGTGGGACCTTTATCGTAGATGCCTGTATGTGCAGATATGTGAGTTAGCTTGCCCTGTTTAGTTTTTTAGATGGATTTGTTAATTTGTCTTGAATCTTCCCATTTGGTCTCCATGGGTTTATTATATAAAGAAGTTCATTGATGCTCGTATCTGGCAGTGTAGCAGTTCTGAATCTTTTTATAACCTGTAGTCAAATCGGAGGCTTTTAGAGGAGATTATTTGTGGTTTATGGCATTGGGAGAGTAGGAAGAACCAGATTTCCTTTCAACCAGTCACAGTTTAGACTCTAAATCTGGCAGTTATTTTAGATATTTAAAAACACAGCTGGCACAAAGGATTTTAAATGAGGTTTCCTCAGCCAGATTCACTGTACCTCAAGGCAGAATTGTCCTAGAAACTATTTTCCTTTGAAATTAAACTTGTACCAGGTCTGTAGGAAATTTTCTTGAGAAATACATTAGTTGGGAGATCCAGAATTTCAGATTCAAATCATGCTGTGCTTTCAGCCAACCAGTCTTGCCCATGGGTTTCCATCTACCTTTCACGTAATAAACAGAAGAATGTTTGTACCACTGTACTGGGGTCTCTGGTCCTTAGAGAACTCTGTGCCTGTGCATTGTCATAAACCACATGTTGAAAAGGCAATAATTGCATGCAGAATAGTTGTGTAGTGGGAGAAAGTTCTTTTGGTCATGGTTACAGACAGTTCCTCAGGATTCATGTCTGAGTCACCAGCAACTCTTGTGGTTTTCTTCATGTTTGGCCCAAAGGACCCTATTTTTAAAAATGAGAAATTTAGAGATGAATGTATAAAGATAGTGTATTTGGCTTGAAGCAGGGGAAATAATATGATACTATCTGTAGAATATGTTTGTGCAGGTTAAAAAAAAAAAAAAACAAACCCAACAAAACAAACCAAAAAAACCCCCACAAAAATCCCACCCAAAGCACAGCTTATTAAATCTAATTGCATAAAAACTGTACCTTCTTCATTGCTAATTAGCAGACATGAGAATGCCTTACATGTGTGTACATGTGTCTTGAAAAATTGAAATTGCAAAATGCCAATCGCATTCATTATTTTCAGCCTGGTTTCAGATGCAGAGACCACAGCACATCTTCAGAAAGAAGGCAGAATTTGCAGAAACGACATGAAAAACCTCTAGCCACAAGCCAGTCAAGTAGAACAGAGCAGAGTCCTGAACCTCTGTATTTTGAGGTAGTGTTGTATGAAAACTGTTTCTGCATTATAGTGATGCAAGTTGTATGTGGAATAAGTAATGTTGTTATAGGAAGAAGTTGCAAAACATCTGACTCTGAGACGTGTACAATATAGGGCACTCATTATTATACGATGCTTTCATTGTGTACATGCAAAGACTTGTATTTGGGTGTTGTGGAAAGTGTACGAATTTAGGCCTATCCGTGATTGACAAATTAGATAAGCAACTTTCAAGTAACCTTTTCTGTTCACTCGCGAATAAAAATTACTGTGTTTTCTGGTTTATCCCCCTTCCTCCCTAATTCTAACTGGATTTCTTTAGTATAAAACATTAATACATTTTTCTTTTTTTTGAAAAACATTATTTGGATACAGAAAGACTTTGTTAACTTTTCATCATTTTCTATTTGTGTCACGCTTAAGCCCTTCTAGCTTATGTGGGACTCCAGGATTCAATTCATTCTTCTAGCTTCAGCCATTTCAGTCGATGCTTTTCATGTGACTTTTGGTTCCATTCTCTTCATTCTTAATTTGTGTATTGTTTAGGATGAAGATGAATTTCCAGAGCTAAACAGTGAGAATGGCAGCAGCAAAAGTAGTAACATCCAGCAAAAGATTTCACCCAAAGTGGTAAGTAATTATTTTGTTTTGCAAAGCATTTTTAGGTTAAGTTGTTTTGAGACTACTTAATTTGTGTAATTTGTTATGAATCTCTACTACAATAGTTACAATGCGGTAGTTGTGATGTTCATAGGGTATTTGTGTTACCAGTTTTGGATCCTAAAGAAATACCAATTAAAATAAGTGGTGTGGGGAACCCATCTTAAAAAAAGACTGCTGGATTTTTGTCTATTAATGAGATTTGTTAATGAGTGAAACTGTACGATACATATGATAGACACTTAGAATCGTAGAATATCCCAAGTTGGAAGGGACCCATAAGGATCATTGAGTCCAACCCCCAACTGAAATGAAAATAAACTAAACTTTATCTGCTTTAAGGCTGTAGAAACAGTTGTTGGAAAGATGCTCTTTTAGTACCTGATGTACTTAAATATTTTTGTTGCAGAACAGTACATACAGACTACTTAATCTATATGGCTGCTTTCTAGGAAATTCCTAAATGAAATCTTTGGGGGGGGACGACGGACACACCACTCCCTTATTGAGTAATCAGGCTGGAAAACCTTCTGAAGGCATAATTGGAGATAAATATAATAGTTTTCCCATACAAAAATGAAATATACATAAGTTTCTAGTTTTATTAACTTACTGTGTCATCTAGCTGTACTTAATTGAGATGTCATACTGCTGACCAAAGCAATGGTTCATTTGGTTTCTGGACTGCCACATTTCCTGTGGTCTTGAGAGAAAGGTCTTTAATTGTGTTTTTCTGCATTTTGTTTAAAATCCTAGCTGGATGACTTACCTGAGAATTCTCCAATCAATATAGTCCAAACTCCAATTCCCATTACAACCTCTGTACCAAAGCGTGCAAAAAGTCAGAAGAAGAAAGCCTTGGCAGCAGCACTTGCAACAGCTCAAGAGTATTCGGAGATAAGCATGGAACAGAAAAAACTTCAAGTGTGTAATGCTGCTGCACCCCCCACCCCCAGTAGCTGGTAAAGAGGAGCATCAGTTAGCTGTTGCTCCTCTTTATTCTATAATAGCAAGAATCTCTTTGTAAAGAACGTTTTGCAGGCACTATATCTTTGTATTTATCAGCATGTGATGTTCGTGTTATAGGAGGCTTTATCAAAAGCAGCTGGAAAGAAGAGCAAGACCCCTGTTCAGTTAGATTTGGGAGACATGTTAGCAGCTCTTGAAAAGCAGCAGCAAGCAATGAAAGCTCGTCAGATCACCAACACCAGGCCTCTCTCTTACACAGGTATTTCTAATCTGCTTGACTATTGCTAAATATGTCTTGTGACAATATAAATGTGATCAATCTGAGAATCTTAAATATGCTTTTTTTTCTTGTCAAATTTTGGTTTTAATATAAACATAATAAAAACCTGGGAAGACTTTCTTAATGCATTTCTCAAAGTTCACCTGTGCTATCTTCCTCTGAGCTGCAGTATGCAGTGGTGAAAGTCCATATAGAACTGAGGGCAAACTTCTCTTAAAAGACCTACTAATCAAAACTCAGGATTCATGTCTTGAGAGTAATTCAGTGCTGAAGTGAATATGTGAAAAGAACTGTATTAGGTCAAACCAAACATCTACTATAGATATTACAGAATTATCTTTGAAAGCAGCTTAGAGAGGATACCTGTGAGTATTATACAGAGGGATACCTCTCCAGGATATTCTTCGCGCCTCTACCGATTTATAGTTCGGGGTCTCCTGACCCAAGGCTTTCTCAAACCAAATTTGTTTCTTAAACTATCCATCACTTCTATCCCATGCTTTTACTGTCCATAAGGTCCAATGGCAGTGAATTCTAACCTTACTACATGCTGTGTGGAGAAGCTTTTCCTTCTACTGTGGTTTTTTTTTTTTTGGGGGTGGGGGTCAGGATTTTTTCTTGTGCCCCACTCATAATTTTGTTAGCTTTCATAGCCTTTCTATTGCAAAGATGCTGAGCAATCATTCCCTGCTCTTCTCGTCTATGATTCTTAGAGGTCTGTCATCTCTTTTCTAGTCTGAAGAGTCCTAGTCTATTTAGTTATTCCATTGTGGAAGCATGTCTTTTCTGATAATCCATATCGCTTTCTCTGTACCTTCTTGTAGTTCTACAGTATCCTTTTGAAAATAAGGAAGACCAGACATGCACAGAATATTGTTATAATTACATCATGAATGTATGCAATAGCTTAATTACTCTTTTGTTCTCTATTTCTTTATCAACACTTAACATGAAATTAGCTTTTTTAATGCTTGCTGCTGAATACAGAATTGACATTTCTGTAGTTATCTATTATAACCCATGAATCTCATTCCTGAGCAGTAGTGTGTAGCCTAGAGACCATCGTTATGCACATAGTTACCATTTTCCTTCTTGTGTGTTGCTTCATTTACCTGCTTTGAGTTTCAGCCATGTTCAAACATTAATTCAAGTTGGCAAGGTTATATCAAACAAAGCTCAGCAAAGAACAGTTGGTATTTCCATTGGAGACCACATTTGTCTTACTCTCTTTCTTGCAGAAGATACACTTAACTACATACTGCACTCTCTCATCTGTTTTGTCCTGTCAACTAATCAAGTCTTTGACAACTAAAAATCAATGTTTGGATAAATATTTGCAACTTACTTTACTATTATCATCTTGCTAATAAAGCTACATGTAGTCATTTGAAAGAGATCCCTTACCAGTATTAAAGTAATTCCTTTCCTGGAATCCATAGCTTCCTAAAACACGAGGCTAAGTTGAAGAAAGCTTAAAACCATCTGGAAGCGACAATATCTGATGATGTCATTTTCCTGTCATTATGAACTGCTTTTTTCCAAGGAAGGAAAATGTACTTTGAGAATTCATCAGTGGAAATTCTGAAAACAGCGTTGAAATAAAGCTGACTTCTTTTGGTGAAACTAATATCTATCTTGTATTTAGTTGGCAGTGCTGCTCCCTTTCATACCAAAGAATCTGCCAACAGAAAGTCCTTAACAAAGGGACAGCCATCTACGGGTTGCCTTAATCCTTTGGATTCAACTGCCCCAAAAGTGAAAAGAGGAAAAGAAAGAGAGATTGCAAAACTGAAACGCCCTACAGCGCTTAAAAAGGTAAACACATCAACCCTGGAGTGTCTTGACCCACACTCATACTTCAAAAATTAAAGCAGATGTTTTCTTACTTGAGGACTAGTGACCATGAGCATAGGATAAGGGAGTCATGAGCTTCTGCCTCTATTTCCTGTTACACTGATGTCCTGTCCTTTGGATCTAGGCATGTAACATAACTTTTATACCCCCATAATTAGTTGAGGGTGATACAAATCTATCTCAATAAGGATTGCAAGGATTTTTTCAACTATAAGTACTAGGACATACGGGAAAACTTGCATAGTTTTTTCATGTTGTTGAATCCTAGTTTGTAGTGCAATGTAGTATGCTAATCTTAAATTTTCTTACTCTTTTTAGAGATGGGTATAGAACTTGAAGTAAAACCACAATTTTAATTGAGTAAATTTAGAAATAATTGGTTGTATCTATCTAGATGCACGCACACATAAAGTAGGTATGTAGACAGAGAATACAGTATGTATGGAAATCAGAAGGTAAAATACAAAAAAAGCTAGCCCTAAAAAAAAGTGTGAAAGTCACTTGTACTCATGCACCATGTTTCTTGTCAAGACCACTTTATGATATGGGCAGTTAGAATCTGTTAAAGCTGTGTTTGCACTAAGGTTGGCTATGGCTAAGTTGCACATAAAGTAGGTATGTAGACAGAGAATACAGTATGTATGGAAATCAGAAGGTAAAATACAAAAAAAGCTAGCCCTAAAAAAAAGTGTGAAAGTCACTTGTACTCATGCACCATGTTTCTTGTCAAGACCACTTTATGATATGGGCAGTTAGAATCTGTTAAAGCTGTGTTTGCACTAAGGTTGGCTATGGCTAAGTTGCGCCTCCCCCCCCCCCCCCCCGTCTTTTTTTTTTTTCTGACTTATCCATGGTCTACTTGAGTTAGAGAAATTCACAGCTACCTGTTCAGAAAAGTTTTCTAAATGCTGTTGTCAGTGCCTTTGTTGTTATTATTTATCATAGCCATACAAATATATCCATGGCTACTTACCTTTGCACTTTCCTTTCTTTTATAGAAAGGATTCTATCTGTTGTGGTGCTTCACAAAGGTGACTAGTATTCTTGCATAAGGTGTTTTTATGCAGATAGGGATGAGGAATTGTTAATGAGTGGGTGCTATGCATCAGAAAGAAGCTGTGAAAGTACTTAAACTGTTGAAAGAGCTATTTATGTAGAAGTATGAGAGTATTGAGTATACTATCTGTAAAATGCTGGAATGAAATCCTGTTTGTGATCAAAGAGGAAACTGAAGTGATTTCAGGATTTTCTATCCTGGCATGAGTAGGAAGGTTCAAAACAACTTGGTTAAATTTATTTTGTGTTATGTTCAGTCAAATGGATGTTTTTTCTTCACAGGTATATCTATAATTTTCAGATGCTGATAGCTGTTGGTTTTGTTCCTAGATTATTTTGAAAGAGAGAGAAGAGAAGAAAGGCCGTTTATCAGCTGACCATAGCCTTTTGGGATCTGATGAACAGAAAGAGGTTCATATTAACTTGACTGCTGATCAGTCTCAGGAGCTGGCCTCTCAAGAAGGTTGGTCTCTATCTCTATAGTCCCCCTTCCCTCCCACCCCAATTGTACTAATCTGCTTATTTTAATATTTTGTCTTTTTTTATGCAACACAATTTATTGATGGTATCTCTTAACTTTTTTAACATTATGAAATACTAGAAATTGGAACCCTCTTCTAAAATGTCTTCTGTGTCCCTTAGTTGTGGAAGGCTCAGGCAGTAGGGGTTCTAAGTACGTAATCTCCATACAGCCTTTTAATTCATTTCTCTTGAATGGATGTTCCCAACACATGTCAAAGTTGATAGCATTTTTGATAAGCGGACAAAACGTGACCTGTTGTTGAGCATGCCATGTTGATTGCAATGCTTTTTAATGGTGAGCATACTGAAAGTTTTCCAGATACGGAAGTTGTAAACTGTAAATAAGTTTTTTCCACTTTGTTGAACACTCTTGTCAATCAACTGCAATGTCTGGACCATCGATTTGCAGCAACAGCTCTGAGCAACTGGGAAACTCCGAAGACTTTTCTATGTCTTTGGTGTGATTGGGGGCGGGGGGTGGGGTGGGTGGAAAGGAGGTGTCTATCAAGATTCCAGATGTACTGCTTCAGAACTTTTCTTCTGAATGACCTGCCTGACTTCACCTGACTGAAGATAAGTGTGAAAATCTTAAATGTTCTAGGAATAAGTTAGTTAAATATTTATATGTATAAATAGTAAAGAATTATTGGAAGAAGTTGTAGCATTTAGGCAGGTTTTCCCTTCTGTTCTATCCCAAACTAAGCTTTGGATATTTTTTTAATGAGTATTCAAATATTGTTTATTTACCCAACCCATGCTGAGTGTTGGGTATGTGCTTGTTTTGTTTTCCCCCCTTCTCAACTACCCCTCCAGGGAAGAATACTGTTTAGTGTTTTCAGAATGTAATTTGGGAAAAGCAAGGGAGCGATACATAAGTGTGATGGTGTTTCTTTTATGTGAAAATGTCTTTGCATTTTATAATGTTTCAAAATTGTCTTTCAGAAACTGGACTAAGTATGCCTAGTGACACTTCACTTTCACCAGCAAGTCAGAATTCTCCATACTGCATGACCCCAGTATCACAAGGTTCACCTGCTAGTTCTGGAATAGGCAGTCCAATGGCATCTTCTGCAATAACCAAAATTCACAGCAAGAGATTCAGAGAGTAAGAGTTTTGCATATTTAATATACATACAAGGCTTGCACTTCAGCCACCCTCGTCTTTTAAGTGTGGATAGGTTTACTAGACTTAGGAGGAGCTTAATGAACATAAGCAACCCTTTCATCAATAGAAGTTTCTGCAAGTATTTTCCTTTTTTTTTGCCATAGATGGATTGCTCTGTGTGTGTGTGTATATAATACACAAATGTGTGTGTGTGTGTGCATGTATGTACACACACACATACTTTGGACCTTCTTTGGTTGCTGCAACAAATAAGCTAGGTGGAAGTATTCTCTAAAATTTTTTTTAAAGGAGGGCTACATACACTTTGGATGGGAAAGGAAGGAATACTTATGAATGCTGAAAATACTGTAATAGTCACTCTTAATACATTGCTGCTTTTTTATTAATGTATCTTTATAGAGTACCAAATTAAGGAAAAGAATAGTTGCTTGTGGCACCTATTGGAGTATTTCTTTGTATTTTTTAATATTCTTTTTGACCGACTATTTGAGGTAAGGGTTGTTACTGCAAATATAAATGTTTTCAGGATGTATTTTTAACTTACAGTATACAGTCTGATTTCTAAATCCTTTTAATAACTCTAGTAACAGTTTAATAACTGTTCTGAGGAAGTAAAATTATTTTTATTTGGTAAAAGAAGAGGCTCAGTGAAATAGCGTAGCACATAATCAATACTAATATTTGATGTTTTTTGAATTGACAGATACTGCAACCAAGTTCTAAGTAAAGAAATAGATGAGTGTGTGACTCTCTTATTGCAAGAGCTTGTCAGCTTCCAGGAACGGATTTATCAAAAGGATCCCATGAGAGCTAAAGCAAGGAGAAGACTTGTTATGGGGTTGCGTGAGGTTACTAAGCATATGAAACTAAACAAGATCAAGTGTGTAATCATATCTCCCAACTGCGAAAAAATCCAGTCAAAAGGTATAAATGATAAAATAAGTGGTGCACTTAACTGTTTACAGTGTTCTTGTGCTGATTAGAAGTGCTGATTAGCAAGGTTAGAAGCATTTTTTAGTTACTGTGCCTGATGTAACACTTCCAGAATCAATTGTGTAATTGCCACTCCACATTAATTCTCTTCTACTCCGTTCTGGAAGGAACTCCTTCACGAGGGTTGAATAGCTTAAAGAAAAATAGATATTATAACACATAAAATAGACTTCAATTTTATTCCATTCAGGCTTTGATACACCTAGAGTCCTGAGCTCTGGGTGCTCTTAAGGAGCATTCCTTAAGAGGAATGTGAATTGGTTAGTTAGCCAACCAACACATTTTGCCACAACCAGAAATGTAAACAGAGGCTTCCTGAGATATGAGAAGAGCAAAGCTTTGCTCAAGAAAAGAGCTGTGAAAAATTCTGGTTTAGTTTGTGTGCAGGACTAACAGAGAATACAGAATATACCTTGATCTATATTCACTCGCTATACTTGAAATGTATAGCTTGTTATCCTGTAGGACATAGTAGCTGGTGATTGTGTGTATTGAAGTTTTACTGACTAATTACAGTTAAAATGGGAGAGTGTTGCATCATGTCATGCTATGACTTTAACTGACTAGATATCTATTAAAATTGCTTTCTTCAAGGTGGACTAGATGAGGCTCTATATAACGTAATAGCCATGGCACGGGAACAAGAAATTCCTTTTGTCTTTGCTCTTGGCCGTAAAGCTCTTGGCCGTTGTGTGAACAAGCTGGTTCCTGTCAGTGTAGTGGGTATCTTCAACTACTCAGGTGCTGAGGTGAGTAATTCCATTCACATAAATGGCTGGAGTAAACAATTATGTTCCTTGTAGTTAAGAACTCATTTGGCATGGAGAGCACACCTAACTAGTATGTGTTTGATAATGGCCCTGACCTGATCAATATTAGGGTGTGTTTTTCTTTGAAATTCAGTATTTACAGAACTGAGGGACTATGTTGGAACACTCTGGTCGCAACACCTCTGTAGCTTTCAAATAAACTTAAATACCATCTGAAATTATTATTTTAATACAGAGAAGAACTAATTTTTAGTTGAACTAAAGGTATTTGGTGTTAATAAGCTTAAAGCTTGCTATGTGGTATACCTTTGACTAAAAGGAGTAATGTAAAGTGAAAATTATTACTAAGAACTACTGATTATAAAAACTGCCTTCATACTTAGGACCTGTTTAATAAGCTGGTATCACTGACTGAAGAGGCCAGAAAAGCATACAGAGATATGGTTGCTGCAATGGAACAGGAGCAGGCAGAAGAAGCCTTGAAGAATGTCAAGAAGGCACCCCATCATATGGGTCATTCTCGTAACCCCTCTGCAGCAAGTGCTATCTCTTTCTGTAGTGTTATTTCTGAACCCATATCTGAAGTGAATGAGAAAGAATATGGTAAGTGTGTTTAAAACTTAGTTTTGTAACTAGAAGCTGAAATTTTCCAAATGCCGCTTATTGCAAAATGTGGCTAAAAATATAATATTTCTTCGTAACTTACAATATTCTCTAATTTTCAGGGATAAGACAAAATTGATTAGTCTTCAGGTAGTTTTGTAGGTAATTTTTTTCCCTGAACTGTATCGAAAATAATAATTTTAATTTCTGATCTTCAGAAGTGTTACAGTTGCCTAACTCACATCAGTGGAGGTTCCGTCTCAAGTTTTATGGAACTGGTATAGAACTGATGCCAAACACAGAATTGATTATATGACTGAGGAAGAACTAATGACAGAGGGTAGAAACTAAATTATTGAGGTCTCTGAAGATAGGACATCTAGCTTAAATTTTCAAACATGAGATGGCAATGAATGATTCTAGTTTGAGCAAAAGGCAAATTTATTTATCCAGTTGCTTAAGCTCAGATGACAGAGGGGATAAAAGGGAGAATGCTTGTTTGAAGTCAAGGTTATTTTTTTTTTTTAATTAGTCTTACGGTGAATTAAAAATAATACTATCTTGTTTTTAGCCAATTATTTTGTGGTGTCTCAAACTTATTTGATTTGTTACATGTTTTTTGAAAAATTCTTAAACAGACGACTTAACACTGTGGCACTTTCTGCTTTTAATTTATACTTGAGAGTAACCTCTGACTACACTCGCTGTTACTTTTGGTGCTTCCACAGTTTACACAGGAAACTAAGTGCATAAACTTTCAACTTTGTAATGTCTGGTTTAGGATACTGTAAAAACCCAAAGTTATTCACAGCTCTTTCTGTCGTTTCTCCCTTTCCCTTCTTCCCCCTTTTTTCTAATTGAAATTTTTCTAGCAAGCACAGAATAATATTAAAATCATTAGCTCGTATTGCTATTTAAACAATTCTAGGATGTTCAGGAGAAATATTTTTATATAGAAAGAATTAATGTTTCCTACTTAAACTTCTTTTGAAACTTATAGAAACAAACTGGAGAAATATGGTGGAAACATCTGATGGGTTAGAAACCTCTGAAAATGAGAGAGAATCCTCATGTAAGACTGCGGTACCAGAAAAAGCTGGTAATGGTCAAATTGAAAAAGCCGCTCTTAATAAACAACCACCTCTAGCTACAACTGGCACTACCTCAGCAACAAATCATGGAAAAACCACACCAGGTGACAAAGATGAGGTGAAACCAGATGACAATCTGGAATGGGCCTCACAGCAGAGTACAGAAACAGGATCACTGGATGGCAGCTGCCGAGATCTTTTGAATTCCTCCATGACCAGTACCACCAGTACTCTTGTACCAGGAATGCTAGAAGAGGAGGAGGAGGAGGAGGAAGATGATGATGATGAGGATTATGCCCATGAACCAATTTCTGTAGAGGTTCAGCTTAATAGCAGAATTGAATCTTGGGTTTCAGAGACCCAGAGAACTATGGAGACTCTTCAGCTTGGGAAGACCCTTAGTGGTGCTGAAGAAGACAATGCAGAACAAAGTGAAGAGGAAGAACTAGAGACTTCTGAGCAGGCTGATCCAGTCACTGATGGTGAGGAATGGACAAATGATAAGCACGCGAGTAACACTCAACATAAACCCACCATCTGCAGTTCTGTGAATAAAGAACACACAGATTCCATCTATATGCCGTAAAAATAAGCAGGAACTCAGGAACTTTTTAGAAATTATATTAAAACTAACTATTGTAAAGGTTGCAGCCATTATTTCGTATGCTTCATCTCAACGTTTTGCACTGTTAAACATTTAATATGTGTATTTAATTCACAACAATATTTTTGTAGCTGTCTGTTACTTGTTTGATTTAAAAACTAGCTTAGCTTTTAATCAGTATCTATTTCCCAGAGTAGAAACTGTGTGGAAAACTCGTCAGTAAGTATTAGTTTGATCTTTTGTAAAAGGAAACATCTTGTAGCTGACCAGTTTTAAGCAAAATTCTTTTAAGACGTGACTGTTCAGCTCATTTTCAAACAGATAACTTACATTGACTGATAAATTATCAACACTTTACATTGGTGTTATGCCAGGCACATCAGTGTATTTGGCTGTGATTTTTCTAGTTCTATCTAGAAATAACAGTAAAATTTTGGTTCTTTTTAAAGAAAAGCTAGAAAACCCCATTTGCAGTCTTAATGAAAAGTAAATAGTAGAGAAATCTGTGCGTGATTCTTATGCTAAGACAGACGCAGCTTTTTAGTTGGTCTCGGTGAATGCATCGTTAAAAAGCTGCTGATAGTTGAGATGGTTACAATAAGCTATAACAACTTTGGTTCCAGAAAAACTTTAAACCAGAGGGATCTAATTAATGTTTTGGGGTTTTTTTACAAGGTGGAAATATTGCATAAAAAAACAGGAAAGAAAACAAAAATTCCCCATGCTCTCCACAGTTGCTGTCTGCCAAACCACACTAAATGAATCATTAACCATAATCCCTATCCAGGGCTTCTAGTAAACTGATGACTTCCTCTTTCTCCTGTCACTTACCTCAGGAATGCTGTTTTGCATATTGTAAACTATGTAACATTGCAAAAAGCAAGAATAATCCTTTAACAGCAAGTGTGAGTGATAGGGTGGCTCAGTGTATCGACATGTTCCTCTGCATGCTTTGATCCTGGCCACCGTTGTGTTGAGTTCAGGACGTACCTTAACAATTTTTACTCAAAATGTGACCTCTTTTTGTCTGTTCTCACAGTTGCAGCAGCTTTAGGAGTTGACCTCTAGAGCAGAAAAGGAAGTAGTTATTCCAGGAATGCAGGAAGTGCTCTGTAGTATGGGGAGGTATTTCAGTGGTTCAGAGATAAAAGAAACAAAAATATGTCCTCCCTGAAACATACATGTTGCTAGAGGATTGTTCCATGTTTTGTTCTGAGTATTGGAGCAAAATCCATTAACTGATGATGAATTCATTTCAGATTGGAGATGGAGTATGTGTCTAAACCTTGCATGTATGGAGTCTGTTTTCCATCTTTGTCTTATATTGGCAAGGGATGTACTGAAACTGCCAGCAGCAGGAGCTTCACTACAAGAGTAGCCAAAGAGTAACTCGCGTGAATAACACTTTTATAGCAAACGTAGGTTTCTTCTAATCCACTTCATTTTTCTTGATCACTTTTATCAAAATGCATAAAAATCCTCTGCGTAGGCTGAAAAACACAAGAAATGGATAGCTTAGTTAAGTATATAGCCCACACTGATTAATATGGGACCAACGCTTACAGTACTTAGTGATGCTGGCATTTTAAGTTGCACTGGGACAATAAGACTCCAGGTTTAGAAGTCATCTACCCCTGAGTTTTTTTGGATGCTAATGAGAATAATAGAAACTGTGTGTATTATGTAAATAATGCTTTGATAGCTATAGGCATAGCAAATGCTATGTAGATACGCAGTGTAGAGAGCTGCTAGGACAACTGGCTGTTCTGTCACGTTCGTAGTTCCTTAACGTAATCTTCCTAGATGTTAGAACAGGCATTTTATAGGAAAACAAAGACTAAGGAATGATGCCTCCTGAATGTTAAACCTTTTACTGTATGTATGGCAGATTTCTACTGTCTGTATGTTTTGAACGAGTTTTTGCTTTAGGAAATGACAGGTGTTTGAACTGCTGACAAGCAAAAATTGCCCTTGGATGTGTAAGCACATGTCTCGACGCCAGCTGAGATCAGTGTCTACACTGAGGGCGAAACTTCACCAGAACATCAAGAAACAAAGGTGTTTGTAATTTTTCCTTTTGCTTTTTCAGTGCCAGTGATTCAAATAACTTTTGATCTTGAAGTATTAACATCAAAAGCGCATCTTTTTATATGTCTTTTTCTGAACTTGGACTGTCATTTTAAAATTTTCTGACATTTATATTAAAGAAGTCTTGTAATATTCAGCCCACTATTTAACTGCAATTTTGCTACAGGTTTAATAGAGTTCTTGAAGGTGATATAGCACTTCTAATATCTATCGAATTGCCAGCAAATGAGGAACTAGTCTCTTTCTAAAATGTGGCAGATCACCCTTAGAGGAGCAAACTGAAACTCGGTAAAGGAAACTGGGTTTAGTGCTTCCTTTTCGCTAAGCTGGGAATGAGCAATAACTGTGAGAATGAAATGGCAATTCCTTTGGGAGTGATCCATTTGCATCTAAAACTAGGGAAGTTCCTTGCCACTTGAAGCACTTGAGGAGAGTATCTCACTGTGGTAATTTTGATTCTGTTATCACCAGAATTTAAAAAGAGAGCCTACAAATGTTTTACAATACCATGATTTTTTTTAAGAAGTAGCTGAATTTCTATTTCGGTATTAAGAGTATGCAGTTTATTATGCAGGTTGTTACTGTCCCCAAGAAAAGATGTTTCTGTAGTTATAGGTGTATAGATATTTTTGTTGTGAAAATGATTATTTGGAAAACAAATCTACTTTTCTTGAGACATTCTTTATAGAAATGATTTCACCACTCAATTTATCTGGTAAAATCAAAAATAATGTGTCTGTGGTAGGGGTAGGGATCTTTAAAACTGATAGAGGTGGCTATGTATACAACCTATTTATATAAATGCTTTAAGTATCTCTGTCAAAATAATAATAATGAAACATGGATTACAAATATGTAAAAGGGAAAAATTCTGAAGAACTTTTGTCCTTAGTTGGACCAAGTAGCAATGTCTGAGTAAGGTTAAGGACCTGATCCTGCCGACACACGCTTAAGAGCATTAGTTCCACTGGCTTAAATTGGTGGCCTGTTTATCTGCTTAAGTTGTGTGCAAGTAGTTGTAGGATTGGAGCTAAACAGTGACGGAGGGTATTGAGCTGTGTTTTAAAAATTCATTATAGAAAATGTTCAGTAATTCACTTGTTGGTGGTGTTCTGATAAAGATAAGAGGTGTCTTTATGCTCATTTGGGTGGGTGGGAGCTTACACAATGTGATTCTGTCCAGTTCTTTAACACGAGCTTAAATTTTAATAATGTTACTTTAAATACGTATGTAAAAAAAGTATTATTGTTTGAAAAGCTGCTGTTTGCTGAAACTGTCATTAAGTATTTCCTGTGAAGTTGTGCCAACTTACTGAGTTGATTTCAACGTTAGCCATTTAAAAATTAGACAGGACGATTTGTTAAGGAAACCAAAAGCAGCAGAAGCAAGCCATAGAAACAAGTAATGTGGGTTTTCTACCCGCCCTGCCACACACAAGGAAACGTGAGAATGTCTGACCCGGAACTTCCTCGCCAATGAATGGTAACGCTAAAAGTAGAAACCCAGTTGGCACAGCCCACCTTCTAAATGTTCATAAGTAGTTCCTATGTTTTAAATAGATTCTAATAAGGAAAGCTGTTTAATCTTTAATGTCTTAAAACTTATAGTAATATTTAGGTTAAAGCAGTAGAAAAATCATTATGAAATAAAATATGAAGGGTTTTGTTCCATTTCTTTTTTGCTGTATGAAGGATAATTGTTCTGTCTACCGTACGTTTTGGAGTAATAACAGCTTTTTTGCACTATGTAAATACTAGTGGGGATTCTTCCATAACTAATAAAAATGATTGTAGAAATTTACGGCTTTATTACAGTGATATGTTTGTTCACAGCTACTTTATCCTGAGTTTATGTTTGCAGATGCTGCCCTGGCAGTAGGGGAGATGGGCAAGGGCCGTGTTACACCGTTCTTGGCCACAGGGTGGAGAAGCCCTGGGGTGGCTCCTCACCTCTGGCTGGCGGTAGCCTGGCTCAGCGTGGGGGTCACAGCCAGCGCAGGGAGGTGAGCCCCTCCAGTCGCCGAGGCTGACTGGTGGCTGGCAGAGAGGCCGAACAGAAAACCAGAATTCGCTGAGGGTTTTTCACGCTAGGGAGTCCAGGTCCCTGTTGGCAGGCACCATCTTAATGATGACCAGAAAAATATTATATAGGAAAACCTACCCTTCTTCAGAGACTGTGGGACTGAACTAGGTCCAGAATACTGAGTTGGAAATAACACTTACTTAAGAGCAAATGAGTAAGAATCACCACAGGCACCTCCAAAAACTAGGATTTCTTGTATGCTGCTCATGTATGAGAATTTAAGTTGACCTGCCTTTATTGTTACACTGGTGCATGAAGTCACCCTTGGAAAATAACGTGAAGTTCTCAGCATGTTGTCCCCTGTTCTCCAGTGACTCACTGGTAACTGCTCACGCTTCCGCAGCTCTACTAACAGTGTCATTAACTGGTTTTGCAACTCCCACATGCGAGAATATTTGTAGCAATTCAAAAAGAATACAGCTTCATCCTGTAATTTTGAATTTTCTATTTATGTGCCTGAACTTCATGTTTCAATTCTGCTATTGCAGTTATCTTCTGTTGAAAGTGCTGCTGTTATAAACCTTACTTTGTAGGTGCTATCGCTTGCTGTCAAAATTGCTCCTTGCATTTAGGTTTTGCCTGTATCTTCTCAACCTGATACAAATTTTGGGAAGCACAAAAAAGCAGGTGCACCGTGTGCCTTGGGCTATGGAAGTGACAAGAAAATTAATTACCCCAAAGCCTTAAAAACTGAATTTTCCTCTCTGTTCCTTCACCATTTAAGAAACACTAACCAGTTTGTAGTTCCCCTTGAGGAAGTTCCTTGCCTCCATTGAGAATTTTTTAAAGAACACCATCGGCACCACTTGCTGTTTTGCATCGCTGCCCACACAGAAGAACCACCGCAGGAAGAAGATTGCTCCTGCCGCTGCCGCACTGAAGGTCCTGCCCG